TCGTTCGTCATAGCCTCAAGACCAGGTTTCCTGCTGAACAGCTACTTCTGGCCTTATTGTTATATTGATGCTTGTCAAGGTAGCATTATACTTTGACAATCAGCATGACTAAGTACTGCCTTAACAACCATTCGAATAAGAGCTGTCTAAAGCCATGGAGATGATTCGACCACCACTGGCTTTACGGCTAATATTCCCTCGCGGGTAGCAAAATCGAGGAAAGGGTTCCACTTCTTCCCGTCTAACGATATAAAACCGCTTCTCGTATTTAAGTGGGTGGGTCTGGTATTAGTGAGTAGCAGGGCCCGGTGGGCTGCGACGATAATGAGCTCAACAATACCGCTTTGCTGCCATTTATCTTCTACTGCTAAAAGACTATTTCCTTCCAGTCGTGATGGTACTCACGCAATGAAGTGAGCGACAGTCATTAATCGACAGTGTACTTGTGAGAAATAATTCCTCGTATAACAATGTCTGTTTAAATAATCGTGACCTTTTTGTTTTGCCATATTTACCACTTATTTTGATGTATATCTTTGTTACGATGGGCATTATCGCTAAGACAGCGTAAATTAACGATAAATTTCCGATGTATTTATCATTTATAGCGTGATTACGGAAGCGGAATGACTGCGGCCAACAACGATACAATTGACGCTTTGCCACATTGGCTCTGGGCAGATAATTTCTCTCTCTTAGCCACGAAAATCTTTTAAGAAGACAACTACGTAAAAAATGTCTACGGGCAATTTTTAGGAATCAGCTCTATATGTTAATACTGTTCGATAATTGAGCTCTTATGTTCTTCAATTTTTGCCTGGCTCAGGTCGTTTGCCATTGGCAACAGGCAATATACAACTTCTAAGAGCTGGAATTGGAGGGGGATGTTCTCATCTCTGCGGAATGGAAAGGTTGGCTAGCAGTAGGATCCCGTACGTTCGCTTATCAAAGGGATTAAAAATTGATACACCGAAAAAAAAAAGATTACAATGAGCGTATCCAGGCTGTCCGAGCGGGAACGTTCGCATGCTTCGTTATCAACTCGATACGCATACCGTCGTATACAATAGACACAATAAACAAAGTTGAAGATTCTATGAAGCACCGACAGATTTACCTAGCTATACCTACATACGAGTGTGCACGTGCCCACTAACATGTGTTACCGCAGAATCCATTGCTAGACGTATATTCTCTGAGGGTATCTGTTTCAACACTACCGTTTGATGTCGCGCGCTTTTTTGTGGTATCGGATCTATCTCTGGGCGAGTTTCTATCTGAAATCAAACCTGCCATATTGAGTGGTAATAAGCTTGGCTTCAATTTGATTCTATTAGATAAACTCTAATCGAGTAAATTGTAAATTAATCAGTACTTGCCATACAATTGCGTCTCAATGCGCTACATCTCGTTCTACTGATAGCGCGTACGAGGTCGAACGACCTTCACGAATGGTCCGATTCAGCCGACTTCAGCCATCTGTGATTCGTGACGCTCAGCATTTATTCAGCCCGCATAGTTCGAGGGTATAGTTTGAGGTCATAGGAGCCAATTGCCCAATAGCAATCAGAGCACGATCATGTCAAAGGTACTAATGGTGACAATTCGAAAAAATTATAGGCAGGCAATCTTATATCATATATAATATATGAGTATTGTTTGTTAGTGTTAGTTATCTTACCTTTTACATTTGCCTTAACTTGGCCTGTCTACTGCACGTTTTTCATAGACAAATATGACTGAAAGAAGCCAGTTAGAAAACGTCGGAGTAAAGCTAGCGGCATGATTTTAGCTGAACAGATAAGACGAGGCTGACTGCGGTTATATATACATCTATTGTAAATAATCGAAATTTTCGTTCAGTGTTTACCAAAACATAAGTATCAGATTATTGCATTTTAATCACGCTTAAAGCTTCCGTATCACTAATCACCTGTCGAATCTCTAACGTAGTGTGAAAAGCTTTATATGCACTTTTTTGTTTTGTAACTCTGTTACTACTTCGTCAGAGAGCCTATTCTCTGCCCGCTAGACTGTGTTTGACGCCTAGAAGTAGCAAGTTAAGATCAGGGGAGCGTCAGGACGCTACGGAATACTTTAGAAAATTGTAGAGATCGAACAGCCAGGGCTTAGAGGAACTATCTATTACCAACAAGCACAGAACCACTGCAGAAGAAATCTCTCTCCTAAAGGCCTGAGAAAAGAGAGGTCGCAAAGGTTCTCTGTTAACCTGCCTGACGCTCGGTCAGCGCTAGATACAGCTGCCTTCATTTTCAGTGAGTGGTTCGCTATAATTGTCCTAACTTTGGAGGCAAGCTTTCGTGTACATTTAGGATGTAGTCATGCGGTGCCACCATGTACCGTCTAGTCGCTTAAAATCACATCTACCAACAAGCAGTCTTTAGCAGCACCCGCCCAGTAGAGAAACAAGCATGTTTAAAATACTATTGCTGGCGTAAAGCCGATCCAAAAGCCGATCCAAAATCAGCGTGCCGCTGGCTGGCATTCTGTAGTGACTGAGCCCCTCAGTATAAACAAGGTCCTACTTAGGCAGAAACTGATGTGTATCTTTGGGAAGACACGTTCAGTCAATGAGATACCTAAATCATGTATAATATATACTAATCATAACAGTAGCACTAATAGCTTCATAGGTTAAACTTATAAGTTGTATTTAGAGATCGTTTTAGCTAAGGCGCAGTGTCAAGATTGAACTCAAGTGCACAAATGACCTCTGGATAATCCCTTGTATGCTTTAAAGTAGCAAACAAAACAGCGTTTGGTTAAGATATAAGATTGAGTCTACAACAGGATTCGATGAGGATATATGCAATGACAGGGAAACAATGGTCCTAGATAAATTTGAAGTAAACTTGGTAAAATACGAACACTATTCCCGTACGTTATTATGGAACGTACACACTTTGGATGGCTTCCGTGTGTTCCTAACTCGACCGGTCAACGAACGATAGGCGATTTCGGTATTGAGTCTGTAGAAATCATATATTTTACAACGTTTGCGATACAGGTTATTGATGCGAATTTCACGAAAGTTACATCCCACAAATATATAAAAGTTATGCTGGTTAGAAATACACCGATATCCAGAGCTAACAAAGAAGGGCTCTGTGCGACACGCCTCGCACGTACAACTTTCTAATATTGAAATAAAATGTAGGGCAGTTTTTATAATATAACTAATAACAGGCGCCAGGTCGTTCGAAAACGATTGTGATTCACTTTGTATTCAAATGGATGGGTGGGGGTGATCCAGTGGAATTAGCTCTCGTAGTCCTTGAAAGCGGATTTTCCGTGTTTGGGTGCTGAGATTGGCTAAAATAGGTAAATAGAGGATTGTGTAAACCAGAAAAAGGTATGAGTCCACGAACTGGATAGGCAACGTAGTATTACTGCAATTAGTGCTTTGTTGCTGGTCAGACGGATCCTTTACTCAGATAAGTCTAACCTGTAACCAGTCAAATGGTAGCGGTATGATTGTGAGAGCTGCGTGAACGTGCCAGGTCGGCAGTGGAAAATTTGGGACGATATGAATATGGTTCAATCATAATTTTTGTTTGTGACAAACTTTTATGGTATAAAACGTTTCTGTTGGCTGACAGAGTTATGAAATAGGGGCATGCTAGAGCTATATATTTGTTTCATTTTCTAGCTCTGAGCCCCGGTAAAGGTGGCAATCTACAAAATCATTCTGTTATTGTACTCATTTTGACTTGTTCCTATAGCTGACATCCTAAATTGCGTTTTTGAATCATGAACGAGGCAGTTCCGGTGTAGTCGAATGCTTCCAAGCTCAGTAAACGCTTTATATTCAAGGCAGAAGTATAACGCGCGTCATTACAGAAGATATGTCGTAGAAGCCTATGGAGAACGTTTACACACGTATTCCTAGTTAATATCTAGGACACCTCACAATAATATAATAGATTACTTTCAAAAGTGAAGTTAGATAGTAAAATATAATATGAAGAGGTCGAAGTGAATAACATAAATTATATTAAAAAAAAAAATAATAACGGTGAAAAACCCGTAGAAATCGCTATGCTGGTTAGACGGGGTTTGCTATTAGGGGATTAAAAGGATAATTTTGTTACTATCGAAGAGTCAATCCTGTCAGCGAAGCAGTTACTATTGTGTTAGGATTGCTTTTGTATGGTTCGCTTACTACTCGATCAACAGATGAAACGCTTTGCATTCAATCGGATGATCGTTTTTCGATCGATTTATCGTCTAATGTACAATTTTTTTTTTTTTTTTGTCAATAAAAAATATTTTTGTCAATATGATGATTTTTATTATGTGCCGTTTTTTCTTTCCATAACTTTTTCCTTGGACTGCTCTCGTGTGACGACACCGCGTAGCGCGCTTATCACATACGGCTACCCTCAATAGAACGCTGGCTGTACTGCAAACTGGATGGAAATAGTTGTATATATTTTCGAAGATAATCATTCTACCACGTAAAATAGAACGAAAAAAAACTTTGAAATACAAAATTATGTTTCAAAATTAGCTTTTGAATCGACTTGAACTAGGGTATAAATAGCGATGTTGTCACCATTTAAGTTTGCGAAACGTTCCTTTAAAACACTTTAAGTTCTTCTGATGTTGGTCCCGGTTTTAATTAATTTTTGCGTTCCTGTACCGCCTATAGATAACCGATATTTGCCAACAGCAATTGAATCCATCAATTTTTTTGTCATTTGTCCGAATTAACCAACAGTTAATGCATCCTGTTATTCCATTAGCTTGTTAACTTCGACCCGTCAACTTTTGCTATTTTAACTTGCTTCTGAAGTGAATTTCCATATTGCGTTCTATACTATATATTACTATGTCAATTTAGAAACAATAGTCATTCGGTGTCCAAATTGCAGTTGACGCCCATGCGTAACTTACAATGCGGCGCCGCTCTTCTCGAATAGCTTTTGTTGCCCGTAGGTACCAATTGCGTAGTCTCCTCTACCTAGGCTTACATGGCACAAGCCGTCCAAATGCAGACAGCACAACAGGTTTAATGTTTTGTGGTACCACTGATCCCCGCTGGCTCGCCGACGCACTGCCAGGCCATTTAAGGTCACTGACAATGTTGTTTAATGCTTGAACAGGCTCCAGTTTGTGACCCTTATTTCCATAGAATGGACATTTTTTTTGCCGGACGCTTGAGATACTCACAGCTCTACCCGGGTCCCTGTGACCGCAGCCGCCGACGCTATCTGTTCGTATGACTGACCCGTCTATCCCGAACTGCCACCCTCACCTTTCTGCAAACGGCACGTGATCGTCTTTTGGCATCGAGTTATCCACGTTCTGAGCGCTATCAGAACCCAACTGAAGCAGCAACACTATTTCCAGCATCGCCGTTACCATCAGTTCCTTTAAGGTCTTTCTGCCTCTTTGTACCGCTCGATTGAAGGGGAAGTGCGGGCTTTCGACCGGTAGCTGACTATTGGTTGCAGTATTCTGGAAGGGTATCGGGACCATTGGACGTAGGTCCTGAGCGATATGAATGACGCCCGAGTCAAGAAGATTGCTGGCAGAACGAGAGCAACAACGGAGAAGGACTGAGCAGCTGTTGGATAGCATAAATGGTAACGACAATACGATTCGACAATGGCGATGCTGTGACGTAGGCGCCATTAGGTACTTACCGTGTGTGCCTTGTTACTGCACTTGTTTAGGTACGATCAGAGCGAACGTCTTGCATAAATAGACAATACTATAGACTATTATTCCACTTGTTGTCCATGTTTGCTTTACAGCGTACTACTGCTAAAACTGCCAGATAATTACACGATATTCTAAATAGATTCATAACTAGGGCATGGGATTTTTCAGAGACAGTGACTTGAATATGTCATTACAATGGTTTCCGCTGTTATTGTTACAGCTCTTAGAGCCATTAAAAATCTATCCATCCACACCTCTCGTGTCTGGTAGTTCTTATGTGGTCATTTTGAATAGCGATTTGTTGTTTGTCCGACGGTTCAGCTAGTCATTGTGAATGATCACGAAGTATTCGGGCCGCCTAACCCATAAGGATCATCAAAGGACCAACATGTAATGCCGTTTGCTGGTTGGCAGCCGCCCCAGTAGCGATTAGAACATTTTTAACGGATTTATGAGCCCACTGCTTCGATAAATGAGTCCGATTGATTCAATCGTACTATCCATGCCAATGTCATCAATTGTTAATCTGTTCGTCAAAAACAACCCGCATGCGACACGCGATGACTGGCTCTTCGAGCAGGCCAATAACACAAGAGGCTCAAGGTGTGACTCGCTAATGCGCGAAAGTCCAAAGCAAGTCAGCTCGTGCGTGCATGACATTGGTCTTAGACAAGCACGGGTAAACGGGGGCCTATGGACTTAATTCCTTCCTTCTTTGGGTCGCTCATACCTTAACACGTGGGTGCGTTATGGCCAATGATCGAGGCTGTAGCTAGTGATCCTCCCCCTTTCCCCCGTATAGATATATATACATATTTTTTTTCTGTGACACGGACCGGAATCGCTTGCTACACGATCGATTGACGTTAATTTTTTGGCACTGCTTAGCTTTAAGGTTAGGCGTTTGCTCCCGTAATCAGCTTTACCCCTTATGAGCTAGGTGCGAATGTATACTAAGACAAGCAACCGATAGTTTAATTGCGCATGTAGCGTAACGAGTTTCGGGCAAGATCAGCACGCCTAAAAGGGCGCCGAAGCTATCTAGTTGATTGTGATCAGTTTTCCAGCTGGACCTACTAACATGTGTCCGTTACTTGTTCACAGTCGCTTACAAACAAAGCGATTCAAGAGGGAACGAACGCAAAGCGTCGACGTACCAATTCTTGTTGATTGGGATAGGCGAGGCCGAGTAGAAGCCGTTATTCCAACACGTAAACGGCGCTACGACGGTGTCAGAAATGACAAAGCTGCACCGTGTGAACGTACGTAACAGTACTCATCGGATGTCTTTCTAGCTCGTTCGTAACGACGCGTTACGTCATGGACGGATAAAGCAGAAGTCGGATGATATGAATCTCTTCAAGTAAACCACTGACGTCACCTCGGCAAAAATGGCCGAACGGTAAGCGAATAATACGTTAACACTAGTTATGAAACGCTAAAATAAAATGGTGATCCTTTCATTTTCATCTAAGGACTGTTTACATTTAATTACAGGTCATAAATTGTTGTCAGTCGTAATATAATATGTACTTAAGGTTAACATATTTATTTAAGCCTAGATTTACTTCATGGAAATCATCGATGATACTTCGTTGGATCGTGTCAGGGTGGAGCGCAGTCGCACGTATCGAAACAATACGCCAATAGCTCGATCTTCGATAGCAGTTACGTTTAACATTACGTTGACGTTTATTCATTGTCTGCTCATTGCGTCTAAACCTACGCCAAGATGAAGCTCGCCTCACGTTCATTCTGCTTCTATCAGCGTAGTATATTAGCGCAATAATAGACTGAAGGGAGTGTCAGAACAACGGGAGCAATTTTACGCTTTATAGTAAAAAATAACGTAATAATTTCGAATGAGAATTATTATTAAGTGGTCACTAAACCAACCGTGGGCGATTTAGCACCGAAAAGCGACGAAGTCGAAATCGTATCGTATCTCTGTCACGTAAAAGACGTAAGTCGAGTTAACGGGAACGCTGGCTGTAAAAGCAGTATAATTACGACTGAATAATTTGAACGGAAAAACATGTACTGCTTGAGAACAACAATAAAGGGGATAAGCGGAAGGATAAAATGTTTCTTGAGAATCTTCTCGAATCGGAAGAGGTAGTTTGGGACTGATGTGTAGTCTGCCTAATAACGCAATGTTAGACGGGACAGTATCTTTAATGGCTGTCAGAGATCTGCATTTGGTGAGAAAATATCAGACGCAAATCATTGCTGGATCTAACACACTTTTTTGAATACTGATTTCAGAAGTTAAACGAAAAAAAAAGCACAACTTTATGCATTTTCAAAATAAATGTACAGATTGAAGAGATGAATAGTTAAAAAGAGGTATACAAGCTTCACGGTAAGGGGAATAGGATTTTGATGTGTATAAACCAGTACGCTGCTTGATACTTAGGTCGATCATTTAAAACTGGAAGGAACAAAGTGATTTTGGCTGATGGATTTTTGTAGATCTTAACCGTATGCCGGGCACATGAGGGAACCCTCTGCGTTCAACTTCAAATACGGCATAATGAAATACACAGTTTACCTTTCCCGCTTTTTGGGATGTATGACTACGTAATTATAAGTGCATCGGTGTTCCGTGCTCAGATTAGAACGCTATAGTACTATAGAATTTGCATAATCCTTCCACGTTGAATAGACGTAACTTTGTAGTACGTTGAACTGACGAATCTGGTAGAAGCTTTTCGGAATTCACAAAACCCGATGGATACTCTACCCGTCTAATGAACAGCCATAAGATTGATACTTTCCACCTAACTCGTGATCTCTATCGAGCGGTGTTCAATTAGCCAGGCAGTTTCCCGAATCAAAATAAGAATGTAGTACCTCGCGTGTTTCGACAAGAGCAAGACTATGCAACCCTGAATGGCGCAGCCCTTATCGTGCTATCGCTAACTCTTAACGTCCTAGATGCCTTCACTTTAAAACCAGTACCCGCTCGCTTGTATTCTGTCTACACAGCTTTTTCGTGTGGTGAAGTCTGAATCGATATTTTTAAATCTGCCATACTTCTGTAGAACATGTAGGTATATACATTTGCTTGCAAAAACTCGTGACTTTTGTTATTTCTACGGTACGAGAACTCCAATGCACATATAAGAAATTTCAAGCATGCAATGCTTTAGGAGAGAATTATTACCGGACACAAGGATACTTTTGGTGTATCCACGGGACGTCTGCTTTCCTGACATCCTGTAAAATCACTTAGTTCAATACGCGTTAAAAGACTAAAGACTAAAGTAGGGTTCGTGAATGCATGATGTTAGCGGAGTGTTTTCGATAGGAAATCCGCAATGAAACATCCACATGTCCTTGCTATTCGATACGTTCAAAAACTGCTACAGATGTGCCAAAACAGTTTCAAAGGGATCGTCCGATTTTTTTTTTTAGCAAAAAAAACTTCAGCTCAGCTCTTCTCTCAAGGCCGTCTACTAGAAACTTTGTGCGAAATATCGATACCGGCATATCGTAGATGTGTAGCCGACGGCGAGAAATATGATCGAACAGTAAGAGAAAGCTCAGCAAAAGCCAATTTCAATATAGTGGAAATACTGGATAACTAGCCGATGGCAAGGCGATATATGAAACCAAATGAGATGATTCTTGGATTGAAATGTGGCATTTATGCCAGAGGCCAATCGGGTAGAGATCTGCGTCTGATTACCCCGTATAGCAGACGCTAGCTCCAAGACTTAACCGTAATCAGCGAACTACACCCGTTTAGGTTGGTCTCCATGCGCGCATGCTAAGTTCGCGCTAAGTAAGTGCGCGATAGAAGAACTGTCAAACCCATGCAAAGAAAAAAGGCCACACTTTTCTTCCGCGTACAACACATGGCTACGACCTAGAGATTAAAACGCTAGACTAGTATTAACTATTGTACAAGGGCACGCCGCAACACTAAGCGAACGCGGTGGGCACAGATAAATACGTCACCTAAACTTTTACGTGTTATGGTAGATTCATTGATAACGTCCATAGCAAAATTATTAATGACTTAAATGAGCTTTAATTTTAACTAGAGAACTTAGTGGTATTTTGTCTGGTTAACTGGTATGATTGTGGCAATTTCGGATGGAAAACAAACTCGGAAGAAACACTTAATCCATCAAACGCGTGTGATATGTGTCTGTGACCGATCGGCTTTGATTATACCGTATTATCGTGCCGGATAAACGCTAACCAAATAAGAGGGTAAAATCGATAACTAATAACCAATAATGATAAATTCGAGCGAGTCGTTTAACCCAGGGCGGCTGTATATGTGCATGCAATAATCGCCCATATACCGTGGTTCGGATATACGCATACGGAAACCCGTTGTTTACATCCTTTAGAGGCAGATAAGCTCCGTAGGGCTTTAAAAGTTTCTGTTTCTCCCGTAAAACTGAACGACATAAAAGGTATCTGTATCAGACAGTGCAATGAACACCTGTACTTTGTATGGAAAATTACCTCCGACAAGATTAATATGTTATTCGTTTTACGTTTGTTTGTGTGTGTGTGTGTGTGTGTGTGTGTGTAGAGAGAAATGTAGCCGACGTGTGTTACTAAAATATCACTGACGGAAACGAAGTAACCAAAAAGTGCCAAATGACAAATAAATATTCGAAACTTGACTGAATTATACAATAGAATAAATTCGAAATTAGGCGCCCCTGTTATTGCAGTATTTTTAATCTCGCGTTAATAAGAAGGGAGTGTGTATAGTGTCTGTACGAACTCGAAGTATTATTATGTTTTCTATGTCTAAAAAATAGGAACGATAGAATATGATACGAACGAAAAATGCTTCGAAGGTGCCCCAACTCACCGGCCGGCTCCGCACCTAATTTTGTTCAGTTCCGGAGCTGGCCGGACTCAATAGGACAATCCAAGATCCTGAACTAAGCGTCCAGCAACCGACAAGATCAACGGATTGCAATTGCACATTAACAATTGAACTATTCTGCAAAGAAAGTTCTGCAAAGAAGAACATAGAGTCTCGCTTTCCTCAGTTCCAGTGCCCCATGCCAGTACGTTTTTTTCGCCCCACCTTCGGCAGACCTCCGTTCAGTATAGTTTGCCATTGTTTGTGTTTCTTACGATCGTACGCTCTTTCTCATACCACTATTTACTGGTTAACTGCAGCAAATTAAGTAAACATTCAGCTTAACTAGAAAATTCCAGGAGCATATACAACCTGTCGTGTGGAGAAGAGTCTATCGCGAGAAATGACATTCTACCGTAACAAGAGTCTATTGCTATTCGTCTGCATAACAGCTAGTCTGTTTAACAGGTACCAGCGAAATCGTCAAAACAAAATTCTGTTCTGTGTGTCACAGGCTCACGTATATTGACAATCCTGTGGCTTGTGCTGGTTAATAGTGATTACAAAATGAATATGACGATAGTAATTATAACAACGGAACAATGCCCCTATGACGCACTGACACCTGAGCGCGTTGACGCTGCTGCGGGCGAGACCCTCAGTAACGGGCTACTAACAGACTGCAGCAAAAGCAGCCAATCTTATGGAGTTTTACACAACCGGAGGACTAGCAGATTCTTGCTTCAATGTAAGGCTTCCGTTCGACATCGACCGCTGCCAAAACTGGTGGTAGTCGCGGCGCTCTCCACCTCTGGGTCCACGTTGACATTGGCCACATTCACCAATGGCCGAAGACGGCACTAACACAAACAAATACATAGACAGGTAGGCAAACAGCTGTGAACGACTCACATCGAGCAATTACCGTACCCAGATACATTGTCTCACTCTCTGTATATCGACGACTCTACATACTCTTTACCTGCCACCAGTGGCGCGTATGCATCATAATTCCCCCTGGGCAACGAGTTACGGTAAGAGAGGGAGCTATCTGCCGGGTAAAATTGATGCTGTCATGGCATTGCCGATCATGGTAAAGCCGCTGTTTTATGGACATGGTGCAGTGGCGGTAGGAGGGACGGCGGCGGCAGTGGACAGATAGCAGCCGGCCGCAGGCGTTAACACTAATCGCGCGGTGAAGGCTAACGGAACGGAGCCACTGGATATTTCACTCGGCGACTCACGTTGCCAAAACAGTGCCAACTAATGCCGCTGTTGCCGCAAACGCTATTTAACGTCGCGGCTACAACGAAGAGGCCATGTCTTATCGAAGGGCGTCAAGCTGAGCGTCGCGCCGTTAGCAGTAGCTACCCGCGTTGTTTCTAGCGTTGGAAATACGGCGTCCGACGGCAAACAACAATCAGCAGACGTCGAACAAAGAGCATGGAAACAGTATTCTATTAAGCTAGCTAAATCTGTTCTTAAATCAAATGACATAAAAACGAAACACGCAACATTGCACGTGACTTTCAGAACACTACCTTGTTCGTAAGTCGATGAAACAAGCAGGATATCGAGTACGTTATACACCGCAACCCATAGATAAAAACTATCGAGGAAGCTTGAAAGTTCGGCGAACTCCCCTGGTCAAAAATCAATAATTTCGTTTCTGCACGGAGAGCTTCGTTTCTCAAGATGTAATTGTGATCGTTGTGTCGCCATTATGGCCAGTTTATGCACTGTACCTGCGGAAGTTAAGGATGAAGCTTATTCGAGGATCGTATCGAATGCTCTCTCGTTAGCTTGATGGGTGGCGTGTATGCGGTGACAGATGTGTGACGTCAAATACGATGGGTAAGGAGTTCGGAACAAGCATGGATCTCAGCCCGTACCAGATGTACGTCTCATCAATTTATTAGATTGATCGATTATTATTATTCTATGTATGTGTATTGCTAGTAAAGGTGGGCGCTCGTATTTTCTATACGTGCTACAGTTTCCAAAAGTATTGTTTAGTTATGCGGCTCTAGTTCATGTATAGTCGAGTGTTCTTAAGATGACCGCCGTCCAGATCTCCTCCCGTGATGAACTCAGCTGGGACAAGTACGTGATTTTTAAAGCACAGGTTTCCTTGTGTTTAAGTAAAAAAAGGTTCGACGACGGGTGGCCGATTTTCAAAGCGATTATAAGCTCATGTATTTAAGTGTATTTCAAGGCGTCTAATGCGGTCTGGTTAAATCACCGTATTCTGTCTGACAGTTAGGAAAATTTATGAGCCCAACTACGTGCTCTATGGAAGAAAAGCTTTCGTTTGACCAATCGAGGCAATTTGGTAATACGTTTTAATACTCTAATGCGTGCCACAAACAGCTGCTTCAACGGGGGTGACTGCCAATTAATTAATAACGTTTTAATTGTTTAATACTTGCTTAATTGGCATTCTGTAATCTGTACAACTAACTTTCGGTAGTGTCTAAAAGGACAGTTTTGCATAAGCTTTAATCTGCCGATCATATTTTATCAGGCGTCGTCGTCGTCGTCGTCGTCGTCGTCTCATAAATAGAGTGCGTATGCCTGGAGCGGCGGAACAGTATGGCATGGAACAACTTACGGTGAAGTTCATTCGGCATAAGTTTATTATTACAGAAGTACTCAAAATACAGCATCTTAAAAAACAAACACGAATCCTCTAATGTAGTCCGCTTTTAACGTCTTGTGATTCAATTCGGTCTTCAGAGGCGGGCTAAAATATCAAATTGCCCTTCACGAATATGGAAAAATTACTCAGACTGTGCTGTAGGAAAAAAGTATAGTGCAGGTCCATACATACGTTCTGTGATTTCTACTAAAATTTTGCAAAAAATAAACCAGAGCTGCCGCAGAATCGTGACCAGGACGGTGTACCTAGCTGGCTGAATCCTGATGAGCACATATTTAAGACAAGACCACCTTAATATTCAATACATCGAACCGATTGTATTACAAGTACGTGTATTTTTTAGGCCTTGCCAAACAACCTGATGATTTTAAATTGAAATTATTTTTTCGTCGACTTAAGGTTGCGGGCAATATTAAATGAGCGTTTGACATTAGAACATCCGCTAAAGATCTGTAAGCCCTAACATTGAGATCGGCATGAGTAATATTTCATGGACGTTAATGGCGTAGACAAATGCACATCTTTAATTTGGCCTAACATGAACGGAACGCCTGAAAGTATTATACGGTCCTTGCGAAACAGAAATTAGTCCACTGGGTTTAATTGATTGAAGTTTTTATGCTTGCCCTGTTCGGAGAACGGAGCACTAGAGTATTGCTTTAAATCGAACACTTCGGCTGGATGGTGCATCAGAACATGCACCTAATTCATATTATGGCTTATCTTGTCGAGGAAAGACTCGTTGTCATACTTTAATTACCGACATGGCCATTGCTGTACATATCCATTTTGATGCTATTATCCAGCGGAAGGCGGAGACTTTTGACGTAAAATATTGCAAACATTTTTTACAAGTCTAATAGAAAATTTTCTGCAAAACGACCATGTTCGTCTTGTAGCAAACACATAGAAACTAGGCTTCGTAGGGGAGCGGGAAAGTCAATAGAGCCTATGCCAACACTAAGGTAGATATATCAGGTAAGAAACGCCTAAGTAGTCTCACTGGTAGTAACTTCATTTATTATAAGCCCTAAAAAGAACTACGGTCGTTTTCGATAATCTAAAGAAAATGTGTGTTAGAATAGTTAAAAGCTTAACATAGACATTGGCCGGGTGGTCACATTCACTTTATCGCAACTTAGCTATGACAGCCATGCATATAGTTAGTAATAACGATGACCATCTGATGAACAGAACTTAAAACTAAGAACAGGAGGACATTGCCTATCAGTGTTTGCTGCGGATAATACTACGAGTCACCGAATTTGTACCAGGCAGGCACTAGTCATTGTCACTCCCTGATTAAGATCAAAAAATTATGTAAATACTTGCTTAGCAAAGTTTTGCTTGTTTCAGATTTTGAAGAACTTAACACTACATGCCTTTGTTAGTCGATCAGCATAGTGTACAACCCCAACCTGATTAATGCCCAGAGCCCGTGATGATGAACTTGAATTTCATTGGCTCACTGCTTGATATCATATTTATACTAGTGAATGAAGGCTGACTTTTAAAACGGACGTTACAAATATTAGTTGACCGCAAACGGGCCCTTTATCTAGGATGCACATAGGGGGTAAATGTCAAATGAACCCTTTAAGAGAATCCGTTTAGGAACGATACGAATGGGCAACTCTTACCATTCTTTGTTCGCTCAAAATGTCATCAGGTTTGAAAACTCGTCAAAGTAAGGCCTACTGCAGCATATCTGTGACGGTTAACTTGAGCGACATGTGGTGGCTCGGGCTCGAATCCGAGAAGGGGATCGAAGTCGACTGATAAAATACATAGCGACGGAACTGGACATGAAACTTGAAAGCAACAGACGATATAAACTCATTGTTAACTGCTAAGTTGGCGAGAGAATTTCGATTTTTTCTACTTGAACTTCTCATTGTTGAACACATGATTCGGTTGGGTTAAATATGTATGTACTTAGAGTCAACATCGAGATAGTTAAAGTTCAAACTAATAAAAATAATTAAACCTAGGCTTCTCTTGCATCAAGCGAGCTTATCAATATCTACAAATGGAAAAAGTGGAAACTATTAGCAATTCTACCGGAATCAGCTGTCTCAATACTACACAAATACTTGTCTCAACTGTTCTACAAAAAAAATATGGAGTCTGTTTCTACGACCATTCGAATCGACGAGGGCAACGACCAGCTAGACGGCTCGGCTCATTCCATATTGGCTATCTAGCTTTGGGCAAGCACCGTCTATAAAAAACGCTATGACACTTCCAACCTCAATGTAGGCTTGAAGACAGTTAATATTTATTTTTAGATAAGTGGCCTATTTTTAGTTTGCGAAATGAGTATTTTCTCTTATAATGATATATTCTTTGAACTTGGTCTTCGGAAATAGCTTCGTTGTCCCGTCCTTCATTTCGCTTTATAACAAACCCGAAATTTCACAAAAAACACAACAGCTGTCGTTATTTTATAGTTAACAAAATAAGTTCAAGTTGCTTGCTGACACAATGATATATTATTGTATATAAAAGCTATCATTCCTTCGACTGAAGAAAATAACTCCAAAAAAGAGCTATCGACCTGGGGAGACGCGCCACTTACTCAGCCTAGCTATCGTTTACCTAAAGAATATTCGAACGAGACGTACACAGTTATGTAATATAGATGTTCAGTAAGCTGGACTTCTTTACACTACAGTTGCATTACGTATATATACCGCGTAGCACGGAAGAGGGCAAAAACGGCGCGAATAACCCATAACCGGTGCATTTTACTACTTGACTATATTGAGACACAGAGAATTAGATAAATAGCGCAATCCTATATGATTTAAAGAAATTAAGCACCTCACGATACAGATTTACATGAGGTATTTAGAAGAGCCATCTTGCGTTCCATAGGATTTTGGTTGTTTTCATACGCCCTCTATAATGCCTCTTGCTTGCCAACGTACTGATTGACTCATCGTTTTGCAGGGCCTTGGTGATTATTTTGGTGTTAAACCTACTTTTTTGGCTAATTATCATCGTATGGCGGTTCTGCTATATACGAAACTTAAATACGATCATCGAGCGCCGGAGAGCAGAAATGCGCGGTCAGATTAATGATGGACTACAGAGCGACATGGTACGTATTACGTAGGGAAATTTTTGGCCAGAGCGCACTCTGACTGAAATCGAGAGAATCGACTTCTTCTAGAATAGATGCATTGCAGTCTCAAATAATAATCTTTAGGTTGACTCCGGCGGATTTCGACTTTCCCTTCACGATGTAGAGGCATCGCAATAAATTTACGGTTTTCGCTACGAATAGCCTTAAACCAGCCAATGCCCCTTCCCTTGTCATGGATAACTTCAGTAATAACTATGTTGCAATTTTCGGCAATAGGTTGTTGATTAAGAAGACTTAAAGAACATATATAATTAGCCATTTCGTACATATAATGTTTTCCACTACTTCAAGTATCTTGTGTTGACGGGACATGATTGGCCTGTAGAGCGCAAAAAGAGCTCCAGACCAACCTGTAGCGCTTGAAACGGGAATATGGGGTCGGCACAAATGATGGGCAAATGCTACTATGAAGCCAGAAATGGGACTCGTACTAGGTTCAACACTGTGCTTATCGAATTGTCGCCAAGCGTAGGTTACCAATTACTAAATTAGCTAAATTGACTAAATTGATCAAGTGACTGTTGTGCGACGGGACATATATAAATGATCTCTGACGTTTTTATATAGGCACTTTTTTAGGTATTTTGTTAAATATAGAGGAGACATATGGATGTGGAAATACATTTTCATTTGTGTCTAGAGAAGTACCGTGGTGCATCTGGTGCGTACACAATTCTCAGCAAGACTGCCGTATTAATTAGGAAGATAACTTGATACGTTTTACGTTCTATACAATAAACAATACAAAAACAAGGGCACATCTTGGTTGCGCACCTTGTGAATCTTCTCAAAATTCCCACGATCGTTTGGGCAATATCTTTTTTCTGAGGCAAACTTGAATACATCAGCCACTGCTGAAATTATCAATTACCCGCATGTCCACTACCCATGATTGGTCTTTCGATTACTGTGAGCGACTCATACGAGTTGTTCTACATCAAGCAAAGCTAGAGGAACTAACCCGCGAAGAGTCACATTGGTTAATTTTATCATTTACAAACAAGAGTTTGTTACTTCACAGACTGGTTAACGCTGTCCACATATGAAGTCAATTCTTGGACCTACCTATCTGCTCTTAATTACGACTAACTGTTCCAAGTTCAGGGCTGGATAGCTAGGTCTGGTGAAGTAATTGGCCTCAATTACATTTCGATTCCGTTCACAAGTTCTACGTTCCACGCACACTTGACGAATTAAACTTGGTTAAGTTATCGTCTTAGCGAAAATGTCGCATCCTGTTACCATGCATGACTTCCCTGGCGTTTAGCCTAGAATTTCTTTTGGTTAATCCCTACCTACCTACCTACCTACCTGTTCTATTGGAAATATAGTAAATGTCGTAAAGAATTCATGCATTTACCATAAAGGTATCGTGGTGGGAACGGTAACCAAGAAAGCGGTTCGTGTTCCTATTTTAGATTAGGTAACACCTCTGTACTATTCTCGATTGAAGAAATTGAAACCAGTATTTAGCATTTGTAACAATGTAAGAATAACTCTAGAACGTCTACTTTTTTTGACTCTTTCTTAAATGTTTGGCCGTAATACACTTGACCAATGTAATATAATATAGAAAAAGATAAAGAGCAGGAATTCATCTTTTATATATCAAGCAGAGCAATGCCTGCCGTTCTCGTAGACGTATCTTTCTTAGTTTCCAAACGAACAAAGAAAGCTTAATAAAGATTTTAAACCAGTTACCTTGGCTGTACCAGACATACCCTATTGCCTTAGAAGAACTAAAAGAAGCTGGGATTCACCAATGCGTCTGTATGCCTTTTTAATTTGCAGCAGGAAAATCAAGATAACTTGTTTTATTCGCTGTCGCGTAGTGATTTCCCCCCTTCATACGATGATGCCATCAAGTCACATTTGATTATTTCATCTGCCGGATCTGGCCTAGCTCCTCAATCGACACCGAATCCAACTGCCTCCAATCGCACCTCTGTTGTAATGCAAGCCCTCGACAACAGTGGCGTGGTCAGGACATCAGGACAAGTGCTGGCTTCTTACGCCACCCCCACTGTCCCTACGCTGTTGAACAATAGTACTGTGACCAACAATGCTGGACACTTCAGAACCGCCGCGACAGCTGGGCCCACCCATAGTACTACTGAAAGGGGGCAAGCACACCCATTACAGCGACAAAGAACACAACGTTATCAATCGATCTCTCGACAACAAGGACCTCAGCAACAATCCGAGCCTGAAAACGACTTTTTGTTAGAAGGGGTACAGCGACAGCAAGCATCGTCGGTACTAACAGACTGCTCCAGCGGCAACCCATCTACTTCAGCTCAAGAGCATTTTTGTGCGGCGACAAACAGTTTGGACGATACTAAAGCTAGTACTAATTTTAACAACGATAATCATGATAAAGGTCATTACCATGAGAATAGCAATAACAGCTTCAATAAGTGCGGCGGTGAAATGAAAAAATTCTCCCCGGTATTGACGTCTGCCACAGCCAGCGTTGGCCCGGCTGACGCTGACACCTGTGAAAGTCATCATGTTAAAAGTTATAACAGCATGGCTTCGACTGATGGCGAACACTTCGAAAATTGTAAATTCACGGGTTGTAGTGACAATCGCCTTGGCGAAGCTAATCACTATACTGTAGAGATGAGGGAGACAGCCTCAATTGCTCTTACCGTCGCCGCTGCTGCCGCCGAGGATGCAATAACTGTTACCGTTGAATCACACGATGAAGACGCGTTGTCAGATGCTGTTGTCGTAAAGGGCCGCGTAAACTGTGATGATGAGCCGTCGACGTCGTTTACAAGTGAAGTAACGTCAAAGTTACTTCATGAAACAATGGCTCCGCCTCCTTTGCCTACGTCTCCAATACCTGACGCGTGAATGAATAGGTTTATTTGGAAGGCTTTGAATTTCTTTAGCTAAGGTTTAGATAAGAAATAGGAACGACAGAAAAGGTTTTCGGTAATATGGTAGCTCTTGGGTGATAGGATGCTGTAATAATACTTTCCGGATGGCGGAAGATGGCGTTGCTCGATGAATAGGTTACGTACGTTTCCTTCATTTATAGCCAGTTTGTTGAAATTGTTTGTTTACTAGACCTCGAAAGATATAACGAGATAGATACCTGTCGAGAAGGGCAACAAATGTCATCTTTAAGCAAGTGGTACTTTGGTGATACTGATCTCTGCGTACATTTCCCGTTGCAAACTATTGTGCGCATTGGAACAACATGCGCTTTGATGTCGTTTCTATACACCGTATTGACATTGTAAAAGTTCTGAGGTGTTTCGACAGAGGGCGCTCTAGAACATAAGATGGCTAGGGCATGCCTGGTCGACAACTACTACCTATGACCAAAGAACATTAATAACTATATAGAGAACCAATCAAATTGAGTTTTACCATTCAGTTAGTTTATTATGTTAGCCAGTTTGTTATTTATAATATACGATAGGTGAAATGATGATGTGAAGGTGTAGTACTACGGATTGGACCGACAGAAATGTATTTCGACCATTTCTATATTACAATGAATTAACAGATACAGAGTAAATGTGAAATTTTAAATGGAGGCGCCTGTTGGGCGACGAGTGCTGCGTCGAAGTAGCTTCAGGATGGCCAACGAGACAGACAGAAGAACATTTCGCCTATCAGTTGATTGCCATCGCCTGTTCACTGAAATGTACCTATACCAGATTGATTGTTATTTTGATGAATCAAGCCAATTATAGGTCCCATGTCCTGATTGTAAGCCGATGGCAAAGATGGTATGATGCTATTTGGAATGAGAATAATGTTTGTTGTCCTATGATCATGTACACATAGAATAATATATATATATATATATATATATATATATAAATATATGCAAGCTGGGCATTTGCTATGACGTGTTTTTTGTTGCTATTTATCAGATTGTTAGGTTCTTTTGTATTTCTTTCTAGTCCAGGATTTCTTTGTTCCTAAAATCAACCCCATCCGTAGACAGTTTTGTGTTCTTCGCGTACTGTTTCTGTTTTATAAATCTGCAGCAATTGCGTCCCGCAATGAATGGAACTTCACCGCAATATTGACGCTACAAGGATCAGTGCTTTAGGTACTGTTAGGTACTGTTAGTACCTTCTTCGTTACGACTCGGCATACTCACAAGCTGCTGACACTTTAAATAAATAACAAGTCTGCTTCTTATCGGTTTGCTGTTAGGTCTTAGTAGTCAGTCGCAGACCAATCATATTAGGCTGTCACAAATGAATTAGACCGAGTTTAAGGCTAGTAAATATTCTACTATTCTAGAAACTTGCTCGAAGAAAGGAGTTAGTCAAGCAGGACAAAACATGTCTTTGTCTCGAAAATGAATGATCAGTGGTCGAGTTCCTGTTCATTGAAGCCTACGGCGTTGCGGAAATTCATAGAGCGTTGGTGAAGACGCTAGGTAAAAGGCCTTACGCAAAAGCACGGTAAGTAAATGGTGCAAACGTTGCAAGAACGAAAATTGTTGTGCTACAAAGATAGCGAAAAGATTATATGTCGGAACCTGAAAAACGGGGATACATTGCCACGACCGAGGAGGGTTTTCATGGAAGTCTATAGCCTCAGTAGGCCAAAACGTGGGGCTTCGCCTATTGCAATTTGTCGAACTTTAATCAATAAAAAACACGCCTAGAGCAGGCCATCGCGGTAAACAAGGTATAGTTCAATTTTTACCTCCACCTGAAAATGTACTGAAAAAATGAATGGCATCGTGCTCCGAAGAAATCGAATCGGTGGCAATATCAAATAGGTTCAGACGTGTGGTGATGGAAGTGCTTGCATTGAACATCAGCAGCATTTGTCGCTGTAGAATACGATGACACAACGAATGCGGGCCACTACCTTGAGTTACTCAAGAAACTTATGGACCGCAGGCGCGGCGATCGAAAGCGCCCGGTTTTGTTACCTGATAGCGATGTCAGACCTATCGCCATGCCTGAATCACCTTCTGGGTTCAACGCGCTAATGAAACGGGCAACAGGTGGGGAAGCACATCCTGCTTTCAGTTTATTTTCAGAAGCCATGAATAGAGAAATTACAAGTAGAAACACAAATTATAGATATATGGCTGTGTGGAAGCTGCCAGAGCATTGAACAAAAAGAAAAAAAGAGTACTTATAACATATATAAAGAAATCATCATTCTAGCCCAAGTAGTTCAAAAGCTATTAAGTTCCAAAGACCTCTGAATTCGCTTGTAACAGCTTAACAACTTCAAGTACATGAGACGCATTTTTATAGCAGGATGTGTTTATTATCGCGAATCAAGGTTTTTCAGTTGAAAAGATACTTTATGATCCCTGTATAGTCACAGTTCAGCTTCTCTGTCTGTCTATGGGTCGTCTTTCTTCAGAAAATCCAGCTGAGCAAAATATGTACTATCGGTCTAGGACACCATTTTTCAACTCGGGAGTTGCTTTTCGTTGTTCTCAGGTGGAAGAAAACGCAGTAAGTAATTTTTTGAAAATTGTTTTCCCGACCTGTATCACCTATCTTCAGAGTGATAATTCACGACAAGATCCTTTCGACTATAGGAAGCAGTCGTATCAGGGTTGTCGAGAAGAGAACATGTTCTCGGGCGGTGCTTGACACTCAAAGACAGCCGATGACCTTTCAGAAAGAGAACCAATTAAAAAGGCCTTGCAAAAATGTTTTTCCTACGTGAGTCAGAACGTTGCATCTCTGCCGTGTTTTTCATGTTTTTGACGATAATATTGCCTCCTTTTTTCAATTCAGTGAGCTTTAAAGCTACGTTTCTGTATCGACGAAGACGTAATTAGCAATCTAGCTTTACAGCCGCTTTTTTATGATCTCCAATTATTTACAAGTAATACGATTTGACAATGTCTCAGCCTCATTTTTCGTTTCGTTTCAATTTGTAACGCTAGCGTTATGAAAAACTTATCTAGTTAGCTGTAGGAAAACAAACAGCTCGTTTACATATATAGGCTCTGTTTATTATTAACGATTTACTAGAATCAGCTACGTTTACTATTTGATCTATGTAACACGTAACTATTGTACAAACGAAGGGAATAGTCCATGAATTTAGGCAGTATTGATCGCTGAACAAAATGTCGAAATATTCAAAGTTTATTGTGTACTTGTTGATGATAGAGAATTGTTAATCATATCCTGTCGCTAAATTAACATACAAATAAGCATACGCTTTAGAAAATAACGTATACAACTGTGATCTACAGGGACTACGTAGATCTAAACAATAGATCACCTATATGACATGTCTTGCTGATAACGTCCACGTGCATTTTGTCATCTGCGAAACACGAAGAACGAGCTCGATCGTTGAAAAGAGGCGTATTTCCGTTGAAACGCTCTGTATAGGGTAACTTCTGCGAGACTGCTTCTACGCACTCTCAATCCAACTACGATAAGCTATGCGATGATACGGTACGCTGCCCATTCCTTGTTTCGGAAACCGAGCACGAACTCCTCTCCAATACTCGGCCATATTGAGAGCTGTGCCAGACTCAACAAGAAGTTCTGGCTAACAACGTTTTTGTAGAGAAGGGAAAAACCGAGAATTGTCATCTATTTTTCATTCAACGTTCATGTGTACGTATATAGATTTCATGTTTTTTTCTCTTGCCATAACTCGCATTGCTATAGTTCGTGCTATAATTGTCCAATGTTTTACTGGACTACCTAGTTTTGAAGCTTTTTTAGACCCGTTCTTCGTAGCTATGGGCTATGGGCCGCTATGGAGGCAGTAGCCTTTGCACTGAGCAACGTATCGTATAATGGATAAGGTATAGGTGAAGCAGAGTGTGAAACAAGAGGTCCACTGCTAGATTAATATAGTGCTATCAAAGAATAAGACGTACCGCAGAAATATTTGCATCTACTAACTAGTTCTCACATAATATACTATATATGAAAACTAATAGAAATCCTAAAGCTTCAACTTGAGACGTAGAAACTTTAAGAAGTTTAACTTTAAAATACTTTAGGTATTTTTATAATCGCCATAAGCGATGGTCGGGCATTACGTCGCCAAATACGTTTTTCTTGCCGAAACTAAAACTAAATCAATGCAATTGAGAGGCGGTCCATTATAAATCACGATAGAAACGACCCAATGGAGGGGAAACTGCAAGCGATAGTGTAGTCTATGGAAGAGATGCTTTTACATCCGCGGTCCAGGTGTTTTTTTCCCTATAGTTCGCGGTTCAAATACAAGCTATTGCTTGTGTCGGGCAACCTTCTTCAGCGTTATCTATCCGTTCGTTTCATCATTGTAGCGAAACGATTTGTTATTGCTGCAACGGGGGCATCGGTCTTATTGAAGAGTTGATACACTGACTTGAGACTTTGGACGAGACTAACGAGGTACCCCTCGCGCAGCTCAGCCTAGAGGATTGTAGACATTGTATTGCAAGTAGAAATGCGCACTCCGCATCTAACATTCACCATAAGATGGTAGAACAGCCTTCCCTGTATAAAAGTATGCAGCATGCGCTTCATATATGCACAGGTTCGCCGATATCTCCTCTTCGTACTGTGAAGATGTAGAGGATCGCACTAGGAAACAGACATGGTAGCGCCTATGACGACGCACAATGAAACTGTGCTCAATGCGCTAGTTATTTGAAAAGGGGTTATGAAAGAGGTTTGGAAATGTCTATAGGAATGCCGAATAGCGTCTTACATTTTTTTTTTACAGCGTTTTACTCGAACTTTGCCGAATAGAAAGGTACAGCAGGTCCGTTGAATGCGACAGGGCTTCTATTCGCGACATATGCGCTTGATACAAGAATGGCATATATTGTCTTTTTCTTTTTACTTGCATTCTTAATGTATGAGTGTGAGTGCCCACGGCTTCCATCTACAGATTTCGTTCTGCGTTCTTTTGTCTCCTTTTTCTGCATTATTGATATTTCATTGTGCAGGTGTAGCTCGCTAATGAACTGCGAGCATATCCTTGCAATAGTGCAGGTACGGCAGCAGACAGCCATCGAGGGCAGTAAGCAGAAAGCAAAATGGTTGTAGAAGACTGCCATATGTCAGGGACAGGCGGTATATGCAATCAGAAACAAAGTGCGGTGGAAGAGACAACGAACGGGCGATGAACTTCCTCTTGCTGCTTCTGTGGCTCACGCGACCCACTTCACAAAACTCCTAACCGTGATCGGAACACAACCAAAAGAGAAGGATGTACCAAAAACGAATGATTCTGCTGTTGCAAGATGCGTGACTTCAACACCCGAGTATCAGTTGCACCAGCTGCAGGATGCGGTAAGAAAAATACAGCGAACCACACGAATATAAAGTAGCCGGTGTAGAAAAAGCTGTTCTGGAGGCCATGTTGTGTCCTGAGCCCACGCTGGTACACAAGACCTCATCAGAACGTGTTGTCTAAACGTGATAAAAGCAGAAAAACAACAAGAGTATATAAACTCTTGTCAACAGAAATGTTTTCCATCATTTAATTTAATAGTGAAATATAATTGATTATATAATAGATTAATTGGGTCCAATTTATTATACATGTGTACCAGATATATTTCCCTGGACCGTACAGCCGTACTCGTGCAATATCTCTGCTCGCATAATTACTAAAAACAACTTTGCCGTCTTTCGAAAGGCAGACAATCTTTGTGAGACAATCCTAATTTTTCAATTAGTGTCATGATTACGACTGTCAGAAGAGGTATACAATGAATTATGAGCAGTGCGTCGACGTTATCTTTGCCGAAATGTGTGACCTTGACGACACATTGGCACACTGTAACATGGAAGCACTATCAGATTAGAGCGCCGCCTCAGTTTATTAGCGACTAATTATAATTTATACGAAACTATGACTGGTGATAGAAGGTT